ACAAAAGTGATCCTCTCCTGCCCTCCTGTGGTCATTCAAGGAATTACACATTGTGCCTCTGTCCATGGTGCTGATATTCCAGTAAAAGTACTTTGAAGCCCACCCCAAATTCCACCCTGAAAACAACAACAACAACAACAACAAAGTCAGAGAGCCTGGCCAGGGCGGCAATGATTCCCGCCCTGGATGTACTGAAGTCATGGCTCTTTGTTCTGCACCTTTTCCCGCCCCAGCCCTGCAAAGGGAGGCCCTGGAGACTGCTGCATTGAGGCGCCCTTTAAGGTGACTCACCCTCCCTGCCTAATATGTTTGTTTGTGCCGTTTTTAACTAGAGGGTGGTGAGTGTATGTCCGAAAAGCCAATGGTCTAACCAGCGATCCACACCAGCTACGGATGCTATTCACTATAAAAATATAAATTTGAGCTCAGTCAGGAGTCATAGGTAAAGTCTGGGGATGGGGTAGGGCAGGGGTGGCGTTAGGGTTTTAGGGTGATGGGACGGGATCAGGGTCAGAAGTGGAACAGGTGAATTTGCTTTGGAGATGGTGAATTTGTTTTGTAAAAGGTGAATTTGATTGTATTTCAGCAGCATCAAAATGAGTCTACCCCTCCAGGATCTTAGCAAATTCCAATAGTGCTTCATATTTTTTCAAGTTACTGCAGTGACATTAGATTATTATGACTGCGTACGCTTTTTCTCCTAGTAAATTAGTTGTAAACACTTTTTATTGAATAAACACAGTGGTTTCAAAACGTGTTCTTGTAAATCGAAGGGTTCTGCTTGATTCCAGTATGTGTCATTTTCAAAATGAAAGCTAAAATAAATCTGTAGAAATGTGCTAAGACCCAGCATCCTTTATTTCGTGATTTATCAGAATGTAATCATAGAGCAGACTTATACTCTGATTTCATAGGATAAACGGTTATATTTCTTCAAGTAAGTTACTGATTATACTGTACAGGTCTGTGAATTTATATAGTTATGCTAGCCCTTAAAGGATCCTGTCAGCCAATTCCTGCGCCAAAATAATCCTCTGGTGCCCTCCTGTGGCCATTCAAGGAACAACAACTTGTGCCTCTGTCCATGGTGCTGTAATCCAGGCAAAGCCCTGTGAACACGACCCAAAATTGTCCCCCTAAAAAACACCAGCACAAAATCATCGAAGCTGTCCAGGGCGGCAATCATTCTGTAGTCACGGCCCTGTGTTCTTCACCTCCTCCCGCCCAAGGTCTTAAAAGGGAGGCCCCTGTAGACTGATGCACTGAGGTTCCCCTTATGGTGACGCACCCACCCTGCCTGATATGTCTGTTGGTGCCGTTTTTAACTAGAGTGGTGAGTGTATGCTTGGCAAGCGAATGCTCTAACCAGTGAACAACACCAGGTACGGGTTCTATTCACTTTTAAAAATATAAATTTTAGCTTGGTCAAGGGTTAGAGTTCAAAGCGATGGCTGGGCTAGGGCTGGGTTTGGTGTTAGGGTTTTAGGGTGAGGGTTCATGGTCAGGGTTGGGTTTCGGGTCAGGGTTAGAAGTGGAAAAGGTGAATTTTTTGTGGACATGGAGGATTTGCTTTGCAAAAGTTGAATTAGCTTTGCAAAAGGGGACTTTCCTCTGCCAAAGGTGTATTTGCTTTGGAAAAGGTGAATTTTAACTGTAAAAGGTGAATTTGTTTTGTAAATGGTGAATTGGCTAGCAAAAGATGAATTTGGGTGGCAAAATGTGAATTTGTTTGATAGTATTTCAGAAGCATCCAAATGAGTCATCCTTTTCAGGATTCTAGTAAATTCCAATATTGCTTCCTATTTTTTCAAGTTACTTGAGTGACATTAAGGTCATTATTCCTGAGTATTTTCTTTACCTAGTGAATTCGTTATAAACACATTTTTTTTGAATAAAAAATTCTAGTTAATAGTTTGGTGCCTTAGCACAGTGGGTTTGAAACCTGTTCTTGTAACTTGATACCTATGCCCGTCTCTTTCAGAATGAAAGATGAGATAGTCCTGTAGAAATGTGCTAAGGACAAGGATTCTTATTTTGAGATTTATCAGAATGTATTCCTAGAGCAGACTTATACTCTTGTTTTATAGGACAAACGGTTTTATTTCTCCTTCAAGTAAGTTACTGCTTATACTGTACTCGTGTATGCATGTATGCACTTATGACAGAAACCTCAAAGGAAGCTGTTAGCCAATTCCTGAGCAAAAACGATCCTCTGCTGCCCTCTTGTGGCCATTCAAGGAATAACACCATGTGCTTCTCTCCGTGGTGCTGAAATCCCAGCTAATGCCCTGTGAACAAGACGAAAAATTATACCCAGAAAAAACAAACAAAAAACCACACACACAAAATCATCGAGCCTTTACAGGGCTGCAATCATTCCGTCCCTGGATGGACTGAAGTCACGGGTCTGGCTTTTGCACCTCATCCCGTCCCAGCCTTGGAAAAGGAGGGTTTGGCTGCTGCACTGACATGGTGAACTTGTGCCTTCACGCTGTCAGTTGAAACCTAGAGGCTGCCGTTATTGATGCACCCAGTACCTTGGAGGCCGCCGAATTTGATACAGCCAGTAACCTAGAGTCGGCTATATTTGCAGGGGCCGGAAGCCGCCATTGCTGAGGCCGGAAGTCCG